CAAGCCACTCCCACTCGGTCATATGGCCAGCAAGCCACTCCCACAAAGCGGGCCACACCTATAGAAGAGGTTCTAAAACTTTAAAACCCACCACGGGCTTGATGGTCATAGGTGCAAGTACAAGCCATAAGTCATCTTTTTCAAGACCATCATACTTTTGAACTGTCCTTAAATGAATGGTCACAAGTCAAGGACTACTTATATTTAGAATATATGATCAATTGGACTGAAACAACATATTACTTAAATTACTTCACATGGTAGAGGGCCATTATTTTATCCTAGCTTTTAACATATTTCAGGCAGATGACCCAACTACTATATAGCTCCAAATTATGTACATATACAAATGTTAAGGCATTACTAAGCATGGTATATCTAATGTGTCCTAAATGCAGCTTTATAACGAGATGAAAACAAGATGACACACAATTCAGGTAAGAGCCTGAGTTTACAGTATTTTTAAAAATTCTGGTTGAAATTACTTGCTCCCTCTTTGTTTTTGGTTCTTTTGACACATAAAATAAACCATTGGTCTAGTTGACAACAAAATAGTAGAGGACAAGTTACAAGCTACTACAATTGCTCTGAATTCTATGATGTGATTGGGATTTACTAAAGTTGAGAAAACCTTTAACCAGCAAATAACAGTTGATAACATCCCAATTATTAGGAGTACAGTGCCTGATTTATACTAGCACTTCCAGAGACATCATTGCTACAGTTAAGTAGCTTACCCATCTAAATTGAGTAACTCAAGAGAACAGTTTTCACATCTGCACATTTTAATACACTTACTCTTGACCCTGAGCAGCAGTGTCCAATATAGACTATATATTATATATTTGGATCACATCTACCTATTTGATGCTGATGAAGCTGAATCAATAGCTCATCTGCTGTCCTAATACTTAAAGAACAGGGCTATAATTAGAAACAGCTTCTCTTAGCTAAGTCTCCTGGATGGATACAGAAATATTACATCATTTCTTATTAGGCGGCTAGTGGCAGAAATAGTTAAATATTGAGACAAAACATGCTTAGTGGATAAACCAATTGTTTACACATCAGCTCTGTAAACATCTGCTACTATGTTCTAGGATTTCTGTGTTGATCAATTATAAATTACAAAGAGAATATTTTCAAATAAATATTGCAATTACCTACCAGTTGGCTGTTTGGGTGGCATTTCTGACTCTTGTGAATGATTTTTCCCTTGATGAAAATATCCAGCATGAGGTTCTTTGAGAATTACTTAACAAGACATAAAACAATAGCATATATATATATATATCAGCATTTCCTCTTTTTTATTATTGTTTTAGTCCAGATCTCCAGTGACACTATTTATCAAGAATGTTTTACATTGTCAGATTTGTTTTTTCTTCTTAGAATTACAGGTAGACCTCAACCTACAACCACGTCTGGGATGAGAATTCCTACTGCTGAGCAAAATGGTTGTTAAGTGAATCACACCAAATTTTGCAACACTTTCCCCTCTGGTTGTTAAGCAAATCACTGTCATTAAGTGAATCACACAGCCGTTAAGTGAATCTGGCTTACTTGTCTGTGCTTTGAACTCAAAAAATGGTCCTGGTTATTTGAATCTGACAGGCAGCTGGGAAGGCTGCAAATAGTAATCACATGACCCCAAGATGCTGGGGCTATCCTAAATGTATGCTGGTTGCCAAGAACTCAAATTTTGATCATGTGACTGTGGATATGCTGCAGCTGTTGCAAGCATGAGATTTGGTTGTAAATCACTTTCTTCAATCTCATAACATTGAACCATCTCTAAACAAATGATTGTAAGTTGATGACTACCTGTACTTAATGGATCAACAATGATGAACACAAACAGCATTACATTCAGTAAAATTTGCTTAATAACATACTGTGAATAATAAATAAGTAAAGTATATAAATAAATAACAAATAAATGTCAAGGAATTTCTCAAAGTCTGGTACTCTAAATCAGCCATCAATAGACACATAGACAATAACATCTACAGACTATGGAAAAGGGACAATCCACCAGCCCAAAAGAGGAAAAGATCCAGCCCTCTCCACCAGTAATCAGCACTCAGATCAGCATAGATTAACTCCAAGGTTAACTTCAGACCAACAATCAAGTAAGCAGTACCCCAATTAAGAAATTGCCAAAGAGTCATAAGTAAATAGCCCAACCAAAGAATCTCTAAGACCACCCCCACACAAATATGACAGGCAAGACACCAGAATATAAACTGATACTCCTTACTAGCACTGATGATGTTACCTAATTATGGTAATGAAACATCTGCAAGAAAACAAGCAATCTTAGAGAGCATCAAGGACCCCTAATAAATAAATTACCTGGATTAGCTTCTGGTCCAGCTTCAGAGAGATTTGTGTGATAATCCAACATAACGTCTGAAGGTAACACAAACAGACCATCTAGAATCCCATCTATCACTGCTTGAAGACTACAATCCACATTGGGACGAAGCTGAGTGAAGAACTCTACTGCCCCAATCCCAACCAATTGTTCCACAACAGAAGGACACTAAAATTATAAATGAAATATTGAATTTAAAATTATCAGAAAAGTGACTAATCTCTTCTGAGTAAAATAAGTACTTGCTATTTAATTAAAGAAACCTTTTTTGGGGAGGGGAGAGCCAAACAACAATAACAAAAACCTGGTTGCAAATATAGAACCAGGGGCATGGTATCATATTTGGACTGTCTCGTGTAGTATTTGCCCCCTTGTTATTATATTTTAATATTCATCTCTACATTTATACATTATTAACACACAAGCACATAGATTTAAACTACATATAGTACATTCACTATATGTACTATATAGTAGAGAGTATAAGCATATAGTAACATTATTTTGCTCTTTATAGTGCAGAATTTTGAATCAATTAAACTTAGTTACAGTAGAGGTAGTTTAAAGCCTTACAAATGAACAAATTTATAAAATAATCTAGAATATTAGTGTCCAAAGTTTTGTTGATAGACATATTCTGAATATGCTGTTCAGGTAGTCCTCATTTAGCAACCATTTGAAGTTACAAGGGATCTGAATAGCGTTACTTAGGATCAGTTCTCGAAGTTTTGGCTATCCAAACTGTGTGCCAGGCAATTGGATTAGTTACCATAGTCACAATGTCTTGCAGTCACATGACTGCCTTTGCGACTTTCTCTGATGGTTTCCCATCAGTAAAGTCAATAGGGAAGGGAAGGTCACAAGTTGCTCCAAATAAGTTGCTCACACAAGTTCCCACCCAGAAGCAGCCACACCCAGCCCTCTTGCATTCAAGCCATGCCTCACAGTGACTTAAGATTATTTTTCACATTTTGAGCCATGGCAGCATCCCCATAGTCACTTGATCAAAATCCAGATGCTTGGCAACTGATTCATATTTATGATAGTTGCCAGGACCCGGGCTCACATGATCACCTTTTGTAACCTTAAGACAAACAAAGTCAAATGGAGAAGCCAGATTCACTTAACAACTGTGGCAAGCAAGGTCATAAAATGGAGCAAAATTCATTTAACAAATGTCTCGCTTAGCCACAGAAATGTGGGGCTCAATTGTGGTCGTAAGTCGAGGACTACCTGTACTGTCATTGACCAATGCAGTACTGTGATGTTGTACTCTATGACCATATTTCTTGGTGATGGAAATTCCAGACCCAAATACCATTATTAATCGAGGACGACCTCTGTTGGCAAAATTTTAAAATGTACCAAAGTGTATATTTTAAGGTTTTTATTCCAAAAGAATGCTTAAATTGAGTAATGCTGTGATTTTTTTTTAAAATGTGACATTTTAGTAGACATTAATTATTAACTATTTCTATTACTCTTTCAGAAATAAAGGAATATAGATGGCAATACCTTTAACAAGTTGGTCATTAAATTCAAAACTTCTTCTTTCATTGGTACTACAGGAAAGTTGAACCATTCTAAAAGACTGATAAATAGTAGCTTTTCTTGAACCAAATCGTCATACGTAATCAAATTATGGTTTAATTTAGATAAAATATTCTTAAGCGCTCTTTCTCTAATTTCACACAGCTCGTGACCTGTTTATTTTTTTAAAAANTTTCAATAGATTATTTCAATATACAACATTTGGATTTTGGTCATCATCCATGATATAAAGCAGTGGTCTCCAACCTTGGCAACTTTAAGACCTGTGGACTCAAACTCCCAGAGTTCCTCAGCCAGCAAAGCTGGCTGAGGAACTCTGGGAGTTGAAGTCCACAAGTTTTAAAATTGCCAAGGTTGGAGACCACTGATATAAAGGATTGACTATGAAACATTTATTTTTCAGAAACCATTACCCAGGAGGATGATTTTTATTTTGTTCAGGAAGTGAACTCTCTTGTAAACATCCTTAGGGATTGCAATTTTCTATGCGAGTATAAACATCTATCCCCGGAGTTCTATATAAATACACTAAATTATAGGCTATACATTAAATGGAATCATATCCATATAATCAAAGCAATTCTTATTTTAGATGAACCTCGGGCCTGTATCAGGCAAACATTACCTTTGTTTCCCATATTACTTATAATATCAAATGTCAGATTTGTCAGGCTTAAGAAGACAACCACTATTTCCCATTTCCAATTGAAGACTTAAGATGGTTCAGAGATGTATGGAATGCATTCAAAGAAGCTGTTGAGAATTTGTTTTGGCAACTACAGAGTATAAAAATACATTCAGCTGGTTGACACATTTCTTACAGCGGACAAGACCATGCAGTGCAACATGTCACTGAGGATTCATTTTCTGCATTCACACGTGAACTTCTTTCCTGAAAATCTAGGTGCAGCCATTGGTGAACATGGTGAAAGCTTTCACAAGGACATTGCCACAATGGAAGAATGGGCAACTGGAATCCATCAATGGTGGCTGACCATTGTTGGATACTACAGTGAGATACATCAGATACCATTTCCCCCAAAATAAGACATCCCCGAATAATAAGCCCAATTGGGCTTTTGAGTGCATGCGCTAAAATAAGCCCTCCTCTGAAAATAAGCCCTCTCTGAAAATATTGCAACACAGAAGCAGCCATGAGGTGACCCCACTCGCAGCCCCTCGCACCTCAAAAATAATAAGACCTCCCTGAAAATAAGACCAAGTCCTTATTTCGGGAGTAAAAAGAAAATAACACCTTATTTTGGGGAAAATATGGTACTGATACTGAAAATCAGCAGCAAAACATTTTTAGCCTTGTTGAACTCATGGAGCATAGTAATTATTAAAAGTTAATTTCCTATTTCTCAAGATTCCTGTGTAATATAGTCATTCTGAAACTATCTTTGCTGTTTAGTTGAAAGTGTGTAACCAACTTTTTCAGGAAGCAAAACTTTTGGGAGGAAAAAAACCCCTCTAGTCCAATGAAACCAAAATCATGCAGGCCAATATTACTCAGCCAGATGGTTAGACTTGAATTTAGTATTTTTATCCAACTATCAAGTCTTTCCCAAGATCTTGAATAGGCAGATGATGTTTGATGGTGTTAAAGATATTGTTACAGGATGCAAGCTTTTTCTAAGTAGCACTGCTTTTTGCAATCAACTGATGGTGATTTTGCAAAATCCTTCTCATCGGAAGCATCTTCAGGGAAATCTAAGATCTACCTCTGGAGTTAGTAAGAGTGAAAGGTTCACTTTTGAATATATTGGCTTGAGTGTAGAAAAATGTCTTGCTGTCATGATGTATTTCAAACCAGTGATCCTGACAACTTCAAGGTTTCCAAATATGACTTTACCCAAAGGAACCAATGAAATATTTTAATTAAATGAAAACATTCTAACCTGAACAATCTTTGGCCTCTGTAAAAAGATCTCAGCAGGAAAGTCTTGCATGATAACATCTCGCAGAAGCTCACAAGTATTCCAAATTAACTTGGAGTTTTTGCTTCTCAGTGAACTGAAAAATACATGTAAATGATGACGCTAGGCATTTGCTTAGCAAACTTATTTAAATCTTTCTCATTAATTTAGTTTTGGAATGGATAATAAACCAACAACATCAATAGTTTGGATCCACATAGTTTAACTGTTGAGACATAAAACATAGCTTGAGAATAGAGTTTTGTCTCAGTATCCCATGGACTTTCCAGCAATCATCACTTTATAACATGGTATCTCTGCTGTTCGTTACTCATGAGTTTTTCTAGAAATGGGTCTAGGATATTATGCAAAAAGAATAAGCCCCCTGCACTGACTCGCATAATTACTAGCATGTTTATTTTGCTGTTTTTAGTACAGTATAAAGTTATTGAATTTCTAGCCGCTGGGAACCTTCAAATATTGCCTTGTTTCTTCTTCCTAACAAGCTTTCTTACCACCTATAGTGTAACTTAACAGTCCTTGGTGATCTGTGAGAGCTAATTTCCATGTCTTGAGGCTCTCCAGTACTGTATTGTTTGTATAAACAATATATAGTGTTATAGACTGTAGCTAACATTACAATACAGGTAGCTGCTACTGAGCACAATTCAGGCAAATCTAGGATCTTTTTAAGCCCCATTCATTTCAGTACACCACAGGCTTTTAAATGCATACTGTAAGATTAATCAATGGGAGCTTACCATTAAGGAGATTAATGTTTTGCCAATGAAATCAAGCCAAGTTGGGAAAATGTAGCTTCAGCAAGAGCATCAATTAGAGGGCTAGAATTGGGAAGAATATAAAAACCAATTGTGGTGTGAACTTTTCTCCAATTAAGCTGGGAGGGGGGGGGGGTATTAGTTTATTTTGTCATAGTTTTGCTAAAGTTACACTCTTCAAAATCATTCATAAGCTGAAGCAAAATATACTTATTCTTCTGAAATAAATTAAGTGTTAATTTTATATTACCTTTCACTTGATGAAAGAACATGTCTATCTGTGGTGGTCAGGGATAACCAAGGAAATGTAGAAAACCTCAGACATTTCACTACATGTTTCACTGGAAGAAAAAAAAACAAAGAATTCTGTATGTGTAAATTCTCAAGTGCTTTCCTTACAGGAACAGACCAGGGGTGGGTTTCTCGCCCCGTTCCAACCGGTTCGGTTGGAACGAGGCCGGCGGCGTCCTCGCGCACGCACGCAGCGTCCTCGCGCACGNAGGTTCAGGGTTAGGTTTAGGGTTAGTTTTAGGGTTATTAGGTTGTTATTAGTTCTTTGTTGAAGGCACGCTTTTGTCGGCGCGCTGTTGTCGGCATGCTTCTGTGCTCATTCGTCAGCGCAATTTTGACCTCACGGTTTTCTCGCTGCGGTTTCGTCGGCGCGCTTTTGTCGAGCGCACATTTGTCGGTGAACCATTTACTTTATTTACAGACACACCATAATGAATCTTAAAATGTGTAATCTTATCAATATTTTATCTCATATCTTTTCAAAATGATCACAGACTATCTCATTTCTTTTGAATAGATAACTACTGTATATAGATGAAACTGATAGTAAAAGTAATAAAGGTGGGAAATACATACATACATACACACTGCTAAAGACCTGGTTATTCTCCCAGGTAGTTGACTCCCTTTAGTTTTTGTTTTTTTTCCTGCTAGATTCTTTACATTTTTCCTCTGGTTAGTTTTTTCCTTTTTTTTTCCTGATGTGACTTATTTTCTTTTTAATTTGTAAATTACCCAGATTCATCTTGGATTTGGCTGTCCTTGAAATTAAACTCAACAAAAATCTATATGTACATCCTGTGATAACTTTCCAAAGTAGGTTTCAGTGTTAAATATAAGTAGGTCTATGTCTGGACCATGAGTAGCATATGGCCATATGACTCTGATTTAATGACCATCACAAAAATAAAATTGGAGCAGTTATATGATGGTTTGCTTTCCAACCATCATGTCTTACAACCATAATGGGTGGTTTAAAATGTCTAATGTATAGCTTAAAAGCCACCCAGAGTTGCTTAATAGTGAGGTGAGTGACATATAAATTTAATAAATAGTTTTCCAGTCAACTTGATCACATCCAATAGCCTATGTGATATATTGTACTATGAAAATTTGTCCGCAACGATAAGCTCTCTGATACTTGATTGGCAATTACCTTTCTCTAACATAAATTTATTTTAATATGCCTTTCTTTATGGTGGGCCTTGAAGAATACTTTCATATTTCACCTCAATCGTTTTTTCTTAAACTACACATACCAATTTTCCTCAGTCACTTGGTACACAATTTAGTTCCTAATCCCCTCCTTTTCTTATATGTCTGTAGCCAATTTCATTTTATATTTTCAGTCAATCACACTTTTTCATCTATATTATTAAAATGTTGAAGAATACAAATCATCTGATAATAATCCTACTTATCTTTTCCCAATTTGATTAGCATTATTTGAATACAACTGTTGATGAACTTCTTGAATAGTTTGCAAACAATATAGTCAACCAGCAAGCCACTCAGATACTTTGTCAAATGTTCTGCTGAAATCAAGCTATATTAGAACTATACCTAGTATCTATGATATTATTTATATCCCACAATTTGCTGATTTAATCTTTTTTTAATGGTTAACTTCCTTAGTGGATTTGTGGAATATGTACTGTAGATCTAATATAGCTTGATTTCAAAAAGCACTGAAGAACATTAACCCATGTTTTTCTCATCCCATATTCCTGCAATAAAGGTCATGTCATACCTTATACTCCTTTTATAATATTCCGTACCGTTTTTAGAAGGTGTCTAACCTGTAGTCTTGTGGCCTTTGGGATTCTTATGCTTTCATTGGCAAAGAGTCCAGTGATCACTGTAGTTGTGTATGCCATTAAAAGACACTTTGTTGATAGATATCTCCACAACAGAATACATATTGGTTGGTTGAATATTGTTTTCAAAGTGCCTACAATTCAATAATTTTATTATATGTTGTAAATTAATCTCTACACGTTCAGATATTACATTGATTGGAATGCAGATTTTTTTTCCCTTTTCCCATTCCCCCCCTCAATACTTTCATGAAAATGAGGAATCTTTGTTCTTCAAGTTCCTTTAGTACTTTAAGGTTCAATCCTACTCTTGGAGATTAGGATTCATTCAAGGTCATGCACTCCTCAATTGAGTTTCTGTCAAGCTCAAAACAGAATATTAATCTTTCAGACCAATTTCCCCAACTACCTATGGATCATACAGCTTTCTAGAAAAGATAGTTGAGTATTTCTGACTAATCTCACACTTCTGCCATCTTCAATGTACTTGAAGTTCTTTTCATTTTTATTTAAAAATGTATGTGAAGAAATTATTTTTATTTCTTCTTAGCTCATTCTAAAGTTTACCTTTTCTTAATACCTTTTTTAGGAATCTGGCTATCTTTGCATATTCTTTCTTGGAAAAGTACTTCTTTCCACTGCCTGTATCTGCCTTTATTTATTTTAGGCTTTGTGTAGTCATATTAGCTTTCAAAACTGGGTTGCATTTTCCCCCTTAATAGAATTACTTCTTGTGCTTTTGCTATTTCTTTTTTAGAAACTCCAGATAATTGAGCTCATTAGCTCCTCTGTAATGGAATCTTACTAAATAATTAATGTTTATTAAAATCTAGCTTCTTAAGAACACATCTGACTAAACTCAATTCATCTCCTTCAAAATCAAGAAATCCAGCATTACATGGTTATTTTCTTCCAAACTATCCACTACTTCTCTTTGAGCTCTTTAGTCTTCCCAATTGAGTAGGACCATGCCTGAGTTGGAATAAAAACAACACCAAAATCTATTTTTAAATGCTGAAACCAGCTAAAATTAGAGAACTCTGAAAAAAGATACATTCATGCAAAGACATGAACAGAAGGATTTAAACCAAAACATTAATTCCACAACTAAACTTTTTTGAGTTAAAATTGCAGCAGGAGTAGAAATTACAGGAAAACTTTCAGATTTCAACCTTCTAAAGTTTTTATGGAAACAGATGGGCACAAAGATGGCAGGAATCAGATCTCAAACTTTATATACAGCCCATAATTTTTAACTCTGGTTTGCCTTTACCTCAGCCAACATAGTGACGAAAGGAACAGTTAATAACAGATAGCCCTGCTGGCTTTGAGGGTTTTTGTTTTCTTCTAATAAATATTAAGGATAGATAGCCTTTTTGAACCTGGCAGACTCCTAACTTTGATTAGAAGTACCAAGATTTTAAACCTTCAGTAACAGCTATGTTTACGTTGAATTCTGGGAATTGTAGTCAAAATCCACTGGAGAGCATCAGCCTGAGAAAGGCTGCCACAGATACCACCGTAAAGCGTAGTTCATGCTTGCAGCGAATGGGAAACAACATCGTGCAATTCCTTATACAGCCACTACGTCTATCTAGAGAAGGTCAGCCAACCCGGACAAGGAAGGAATAGTTAAAAAGCTCTTGGTATTCCCTCCCCTTTCAAATCATGCATGATGCGTCCCATCAAAAAAACTAATAGTTTACAAAAACATTTCGCAACCCTGTCAATTCGCCCAGCTTTGAAACGGTCGTTTCTTGACTTGCAGAGGAAACAGCTAGAGAGGCGTACTTTTTATTATTTCCAGCGAAGATTGGCAAAGGGGGCAAACCCCACTGAAATGTTGGCGGGGGGGGGGGGATTGACACGCATATACAGGAATGGAGTACTGTGCATCTTCCTAACCCTTTCACGGACAGCGTCTCAACTCTTAACTGAGGAAAGAAAACCGAACAGTATACAAGCATGTTTTGCCCAGTGAAGGTGCACAGCGTTGGAATGAAACGAAGCTGCTCGAAAAGGGTAAAACTGACCGAAAAGAAAAAGGCGAGCGTCTGAGGGCAAGCAGGGCACCAGAGGGAGCGGGGGCGTAAAGAATGCGGCCGGGTGTCACACGGACGGCGAAACAACAAACACGCCAAGGGGAGACGGCCGGCCTGGACTCTGTCCTCGCTTCAGCCCTGCGACGGCAGGCGCGTGTGGAGAAGCTTTTCTCGTACGTGAACTGACGGCGGCGGTAGCGCCCTCGCTATCCCCCCTCGCGCCCCTGCGGAGACGGAGGGCGCAGGAGAAGGAAGGAGGACGAGGAGGCGGGGGGAAACTGCAACGCCAGGAGCAGGAGGAGGAGGAGGAGGAGGAAGTAGCGGCGACCGACGAGAAGGGAGCTTGGCGGAGGCGGAGCCGGCGCTTGAGCCCGGCCGGCCTGCACTCGGCTCATTACGACGGCCGCCACCGGCAGCAGCAGCAGCAGCAGCATTTGGCTGCCTTCGGTGAGTCGCCTTCTGCGCCGTTCTTACGCCTCTTGTCCGAGAGCCGCGCGCTCGTGCGGTGCAAGAAAGGGAATCCGGGCCTGGGTTGATTGGCGGGGAAGAGGGGGGGATTCAGGCCCCGATAAAGCCAAGCGGCGGCCTCCAGCGTGGAAGTCTTCCTGCTTGGCCTGACTCGGCCTCAGTTCGCCCATCCCTGCTCAGCCCCCGTTCGTTCCCCTTTTGTTCTGTCGGGGGCTTGCAGCTACACAGCCGAGGCCTGGAGAGAAGAAGAAAAAGGAGCTCCGCTAGCGCTCGAGAGGGGATGGGGAGGCGCAGCGTGGTCATCGGAGGAAAGGAGGACCGTCCTGCAGTTTTATTCCGGCTCCGTGTGGCAGCCTCCACCTTCCTAATACCCCCGTCCCCAGCCAAAATCAGGGTGGCTGCGCCAGAGCTATAAGGAGTTGAATCACCCCCCCCCCCCAAGAGGTGGGGTTGGAATTGGGTTCCCTTTGGACTTCGGGGCCACCTGGAAAAGTCTGGTTTATAAACTTCGTCCTTGCCTTCTAAGCACTTTTTTTTGTCTTTTCAACACCATCCTGATGTTCCTTCCTCCACCCTCTCAAGTTCCAGGCACTGGTATAAGGCGCCAAAGAAAAGAGAGAGACAGAAAGAAACTTGGGTGTGCTTTTAGCTTTTTCATTAGTTTGGAGAACCCCCTTTGAACTGCAGGGGGAAAAGGCAGGGAGAACAGGGAAAGACTGAGATTGATGGTGGAAGGATCTGAAGAACTCCTGGGAATCCAAAGCATAACCCCATGCCAGCCTCCTTTCTTCTTTCACACATCAGAAACAATGAAGTCTAGACAATTAATTTTGTTCTAAAGTAGGCCTCTTACAATCCCAGCCCAGTGATCTCTCTGAAGTAAACATTCATTAACAGCACATTATATGTCACTCACTTCCATCTTGAAAAAGTGTATTTAACTTGTTAGTTGAGACAGTTGGCTGTAAGGCTGGTGTACCAAATGGTACAAAATTCAGTGAAACTATATTATTTTCTTTGTGTAAACATGCATAAAATACATGGAAGGTGATCCTAAATTTGTATTTCCACTTTTACCAAAGTTTTTTCTCCCCACGGTATATCAAAAGTTCATGTGCTGATGTAATTTTAACAGGAGGAAGACTTCTAGTGAAACTAAAATAGTATGGTGAGAGTTATGTATAAAATGGTCTATATAGAACATAACTTAGGTCTTGTTTAGCTTCTTGCTTCATTTCTATGTGTATTGTTTGCAGTTAAACCTAATAATAATGTGAACATACAAATATTTTAGGGTAGGTGTGTTTGCAGTCTGAATACTATATATTGCCACGATTCATCTCTACATTCTNCTCGGAGGGACTCAGGGCGGCTAACAAACCCAGGAGAGGGAATACAGACAAAAGGAAGAGACAACAAACAAACAACAGAGACAATTTAAAAGCAGTCAACAGCCACACAATTTGAGCGGGGATGGGAACTCATCAGCCCCAGGCCTGCCGGAACAGCCAGGTTTTAACGGCTTTGCAGAAAGCCTGAAGGGTGGTGAGGGTCCGAATCTCCATGGGGAGCTCATTCCAGAGGGCCGGAGCAGCCACAGAGAAGGCAGCATGGGCTCCCTCTCGGACCCCCGGGTACTCCCAGCACCTTGGCCATCTTCCCCAGGTGGTGCATTGGGTGCCACGTGTTCCCAAAGGCCAGGACCCTGTTCCTTTCGACCCCAGAAGCCTTGCCCTGCCAGGCCAGCCCACAGGGGTGGAGGCAGGGGGACAGCCGCAAGCACGTGATAGGCCTTTGGGCGCCAAATTCTAGCTTCCTCCTTTCCTTGGCGCTTGTGACCCTTATGTCAATTGTTTAGCCTTCCACTATTCAGGAATGACCTTAGTGGTGGTTAGTTTTACTGTACATTTAATCCAGCATTATTGTATATACTATAGCTAACCAAATTGCATTCTGAATGTCTTTCTATTTTTTTACTCCTGTAAGATTTACAAGCTTGATTAGAGGAAGGCTGGTGAAGCATAAAAACATGGCCCTCCAGAATTGTTGAAATATATTCCCAAGTGCCCACCAGCATGGCCATATCAGCATCTGAAAAGCAGCAGATTGCATATCCCTATCAAGTCTTTCTGTACCAGGAATAGTTTACAGATTAAAATTGTAACACCTCTTCTATCCATGAGAAAGTGGGTTATGGGTGTATGTGTTGTGAGAAGAGGACATGAGCATAAATTATCTTGATAAAAATGCTACTGCAACGTTAAACACAAGTTTTGGTTTTCAGTTTTAAGAAATGTATGTTCCTCATGGTGTCATAAATGGTTTTCTTTGCCATCTCCCATTGTGGAAAAAGACAGTCATTTATCCAATTCGGAGTTCTCCTGTTTGATGTAATTGGCAATCTTAGTCAGATACAAGTCATAATGGAAGGATAAGAGGGAAGAAGCATTTTACCCTATTATTTATTCCTGTTTTTGAACCAGCTTTCCCGAACTGTGGGTGACAATTATCCCAACTGGGTTGTTTCTAAATTATGCAGTGAAATATGCTGATAATGCTATTTGTGAACAATGTCCACTTATATTTGCTGATGGTTCTTATATAGAACCACATGGAAATATCCAAATGGCTCATTAAATTTCTTCCTTTTTAATTAGTTGACCTTTTTTTTTAAAAAAAAAAAACAAGTTATAATTGCATTGGTATTTTATGATAAAACAAAGCGTACTCCGGACATTTCTAAAAGTCATTTAACTGTCACCAGTCAAATAGATGACGAATGAGCAGCAAGACAATTTTTCAAGCATTGTGCTTTCATGGAATATGTAACAATATCTGTTAATTGACAATATTTTAAAGATGAATATTTTAAGTTGCATATTCAGTATTCAAAACAGATAAAGACGGATAGAACAAAGAGACACAATCAAAGGACCCACAGAGTCTTGAATACACGCCCCAGATATGGGGATATTTTTTAAATACAATAAGAGCAATCATTTTAACTGTATGAATTTACTTTTAATTCATTTCAGATTAAATTTAGATTTCTATTTTATTTTTATTTATTATTATCTTCTTTCTGGAATACAGCCTTCAAGTTTTCAACTTCCAAGTTCAAGCCTAATTTTGACACCAAAAAGTGTCAGAAACAAGTGAGACCAACTTGTCACATTGTTTGTGAGATGGACAGCTATATAAATTTGACAGATAAATAAAATAAATGCATGCTTCCTGCCTAGAGTTAATGTGGTAATGAAGGCAGCATGCAATTCAATCAGTAAATTACACCTCCACTTATTTATCCTGGCAAAAATATGGAAGTGTCTTCAGGATTGTTTTCAACCTTCTGGTCTGGGCTATAATTTTGGGATTTCCTGGTAGCCTTCAACCCAAATAGTAAACTAGTCTTATTCTGCTGTGTGCTATCACAATGCGGTACGTCAAGCTATGGCTTATCGTCAGCTTACAACCACAATTAGACTTGAAGTTCCACCACTTATGTTGTGGTCATAAGATGAATTGGACCAAATTTTACAACAACTTCATGGTGATTGCTAAGTAAAGACAATTCAGCACGGGATTAAGTATTATTGTTAAATGAATCTAGCTTCACTAATGGGTATTTTTGCCATACGTTGTAATCACATGACTACAGCAAATACAGCAAATAGTGAGCTAGTTGCCAAGTGCCCAAATTGCAGTCATGTGACTGTGGGGTTGGTGTGATGATCATACGTGCAAATAGATGTCATAAGTCATTTATTTTTCCAAGGAGTTTGTAACTTTGAACCATAGTTAATTGAACTGTCATAAGTCAAGGACTACCTGTTCAGTCTTGGGAACTATATTGAAATAGCTATTTGTTTAGTCAACAGTGTGACTTTAATTTGTTCTCTTACTTCTAGGATTTTATTTTCTGGCAAATGAGACCAGCACACTGGATGGATGGATGTTGCTTAAATATTTTTAAAAACTGAAAATTTAAATGTGGCTAAACTCTCATGTGAACCACAATCTATTGCATGACCACTCTAGCATGCCATATATTTTCTGCAGGCTTGCATAAATTCAGAATGGGATTTGCAGAATTTTGAATATTCTTGCATTTTTGAGCAATTGTTTTAAAAATCTTAAAATTTTTGCGTGCACCGAACCGGCAGTAATGCTGGAAGCAACCCACCCCTGCTAGAGAGCTTCTAAAGTTAATGTACTCTACATCATGGATGTCCCTCACGGCTAGCTGTGGAATTTTGGGAGTTGAAGTCCACTGGTCATAAAATTGTCAAGGTTGGACAGTCCTGCTGTATATAATCTAGGACTTAATATGGGAATGACTAAAGGTAGCCAGAGGGTTCCAAATGTTTACTGACCCCTTCCCTAAACCACAGTTTAGTATGATGGGCAACCCAGATTTGTTATCTATTATTGATTATGTGAAAGTGAAGAATTTTTCCTAACCCATTAAAATTCTTCTGAAATTTTTCTGAAGTTTTGTGTGTGATATTTTTCACCATCTTTGCATTGACTTTAAATAGGAAAGTATTGATTTTTTTTTGCAGTGTAACTAGCTGTTTTCATACAAACATAAAGTTTTCATTTCAGCATATTTGGAAAATCATTGGGATCTTAATGTTATTTACAAAGTCATGTTATTACTAAATGTGTAAGCTGATACTTGCAAAGAGAAAGCCAAATCCAATTACTATAGGTTTGTTTGTTTGTTTTTCAGTGGTATCTATCAGTGGTTTTTGGATTAGGGCTGAAATTACTTACATTGTTTCTCAGAGATAATCCAAACTTCATGGCATATACAAGGTTGCTCTGCAGATAATGATATAGTGAATACTTGCTCTTGGGTCACTTTAGAGCCATTAAAAAAATAAAATAAGTGTATGTGTTTCATATTGTGATTCACACTGTGAATTGAATTAGAAATCAGTTTGGTATTTTCTATATTCCTTAAATAAATTGGTACA